AAAAAAAAAGAAACTATATAGCATTAACAACAAAGACCCGCTTTTTTCCTTTTATTTTGTTTGCGGGGTTTGAGAATAAGCAGAAAGAAGTTTAGATATGACGGAGCGAACAGGAGAGGCTCGTGCTCCCCTTTCCGCGCACCCTGTGGTCACCCCCTCGACGCCGTCAGCAAATACGTCACATGAGGCGTTACAGCAGCAGGACTGGAGCCCCGTTGTGGAGCGCGACAATGGGCCGTTACCCCGGGCCACGGAAGATGGTGATGACGAGAGACTCGGAAGCACAGTGGACAGTATTGGGGTTTTCTTTAAGGCAGACGATGAATCTCCAATGGCTTTCGTACGGGTTTCTTCAAACACCATGGACGCAGTTGCCGTATCGCATGATGAGGGAACGCAGATGTTTGGATTGGAGTCGAGACAGCAACAGCTGGGATGTGTTATTGAGCAGGATGCGTTCTACTTGGAGCAGCCGCGTGCTGGCGGTGTGCGAACACCTGCGGCCGGTAGCGGCCTGCAGTCAGGGACCCCAGAGACGCCAAGAAGTCGTCGCCATTCAGGCATGGAAAGTTCACAATTACACCGGCAATCGAATGTTCGAATGTGGAATCGCAGCAAGGACAATCCAGCGGGCGTCGATCACTCCACACAAACAGCGGAGTCATACCTGCAAAGCCGCGTGAATCCGTACATGGTTGCCCACCACCGGCCTAGCAGTTCTGTCGGAGGCCGCAGCTGCGGCTCCAGGTCGCCGCAGATGTGGCGTGGTGAGACCATTGAAGAGTCCCTTACGCCGTACCGAAGTCCGTCTCAGACGCCTGGGCTCGGTAATCTATGGCGCACGTCGTGTGACTCTGGTGTCGTGGGCCATAGCAACTTGAGTTCGCGTTGCTCGAGTGCTCTCCCCATGGTGAGCCGCAGGGTGAGTGGGGCAGTCGGCAGCTCAAAGTTGGCGGACGCCGCAGTCGCAAGCTCCGGTGAAGGGCACCCCTCACCAGCGGCGGCGGTGGCAGCTACCCAGTCATTGGTGGGCGACTCTCATCCCGTCTCAATCGGAACAAGGCCATATGGTGAGCATGGAGTCACAAAAAAGAGCCTTCTTGACAAAATGGAGGGTTTAGAACGTCGGATGCAGGTTACGGAGAAGAGACTAGTCCAGGTGGTAGAAAAGTTTGAGACGTGCTTTGCTCAACTCGAGTCTTGTGTAGGGGACCTTCAGCGACAGATGACACATATGATGGCGAGGATTGAGCCATCGTTGCCGCAAAGCGACTCGAGGGCTGAGACACGAGAACCATCGCGAGCAATGGACCTTTGACTCGCGATGTAACCCGCCTAGTTGAAGAATAATACTCGGTGGGCACTCGTGCTGTCGCTTGGATTGTTTCTTAGGCATACGCTTCCCGTTCTTCACGTGTTCATGCAAAATGTGGGACTGTGCTGGATGCGTAGAGACAATGTATACAAGTGGCAGCTGGTATGGGTGGCGCAAACATGACCAGACGTTGCTAGGGAGTGGTGATTATTGGGCTGTGCACTGCATTCTTCTTTTGCATGAGCCCATCCTTGGATTTCTGTACTCCAGGAGCGAGGCAGTCAGGTTTTATAGCCTATCGAATGAAAACGTGAAGATTGAAAATCGCTCTGTTGTTTTTTTGTTTCGGTTTTTTTTCTTGTGTGGGTGAGAGAGCCTTCGGCACGTGTGTGTGCCCTCCACACACATTTCTTTCGCATCAGGACGCTTGACTTCATTTTTCATCCTGCTGGTTGAAAGAGGAGAAAGAGAAGGAGTGCTGAGCACCAGGATATATTGGTGACGAGAGGAAAATAGATGCCGGGCAAGTAAGCCAAAGGAACACAGCAAAGTGAAGGCACACCACCGACAAAGGATGGAGGCAAGGAGCCATGTGTTGAAGTGCCATGTTTCTGTTTCATGTCTGCTCTGACTTCATCTCATTCGTCCCCTATGGGTATTAGAGGTTGTTGTTGTTTTTGCCTTTTATATTGGAAAGGGGCACTTTGCCTTGGTGAAGAACTAAATGCGCTCTCGTCTCTCGGTCGTATTCTTTTCTTTTAATTTATTGCGATAGCTCCTGCGTGTGTCTGTCTTTCTGTGCGTGTGTGCGTGTGTGTGTGTGTGTCAGTGGCTTATGGGCATCAGCTGTACAGAGGCGGTGGACGTGACCTTTGGGTCGTACGTAACACTAAAGGTTGACACCGTCGTTGAATTTGCGCGGAGAACATTCCGCGATTGGCAGCCGCTCAGTGGCGACGCTGGCGCCATTGACTCACCGGACATGTTGGTTTCTGCGGTTGAGGTGGGCGACGGCAACCTCAACTTGGTTTTCCGTCTGCTAGACCGCAACGGGCGCAGCTGTGTGGTGGTGAAGCAGGCACTTCCCTATGTCCGCTGCGTCGGTGCGTCATGGCCGCTCACAGTGGACCGCGCGAGGATCGAGGCGCAGACACTACAGGTGCACCGTCGGTGTTGTCCCGAGGGAACCGTTTCTCTGCTGTACTACGACTCGCGGCTTGCTGTGCTGGTGCTGGAGGACATGTCACATTGTGTCACGTGGCGCCACGCACTCGTGGGCGGCGTGTGCTCCATGCACGTGGCTGCTGGCGTGGGGATCTACCTTGCAAAGGTGCTGTTTTTCACTTCCGACCTCTTCCTCTCTCCGGAGGAAAAGAGGCGGGAGATGCAGCGCTTCGTGAACGTGGAGATGTGCCGCATCACGGAGGATCTTTTCTTTACCGATCCCTTTATTGTTCACGAGCGCAATGACTACGAAGCGGGGCTCGAAGATTATGTGCAATCCCATCTGCGAGATGATGTGGAGCTTCGGCAACGTGTCGCCGTGCTGAAGCGGTCTTTTATGACGCGTGCCGAGGCGCTTTTGCACGGAGACATCCACACTGGATCTGTCTTTGTAAGCGCTACGCAGACTAAAGTGTTTGACGCCGAGTTTGGTTTCTATGGCCCAATGGGGTTTGACCTCGGCACAGTGGTGGGTAACCTCCTCCTCAACCACGTTGCGTTGCCAGAACTGTTACAACAACGACGGGATCAGCAGGATCAAAGGGCACAGGAGGGCACTGATTTTTTGCTCTCTACGTCGTCGCCAACAGCCGTATTGGAAAGTATTGGGGTCTTTTGGCGCGCGTTCGCCACGTGCTTTCAAAACCTTGCGGAGGAGTACACCAAGGATGCAACATTTGCAGTGACAGGGTACGCGAGACGCTACATTGAAGAGGAGGTGTGGCGCGACACGTTGGGTTTCGCCGGATTGGAGATGATACGCCGCACTGTTGGTCTCGCCCATGCGGCGGACCTCGACGCTGTGCGTGACACCGCCGCGCGGCTGCGGGCGAAGCGAGCGGCGCTGCACGTTGGCCGGCGCCTCGTCGTGCAGGCAACGAGCGTTACGGACGTGGATGAGCTGCTTCGCTTTGTGGTGTGAACCAGTTGCGCCCTCGCTCTGAAGTGTGGTGCTTGTGTCGGTTATTCTTCG